TGCCCTTGTAACTGCTTGGTTCTGCCTTTATTTCCCTGCAGTTGTCTCTTATACAGACATTAGAGGTGTTTCCCAGTTGAAAAGCCATCCCAGTGTTCCATATGTGTGCTGGAGCTGCTCCTTTTTGCTGCATCGGATTCAGCTGCTTTTCCTTCCCACCTGTTTGCTCCACCTTGAGCAAACTTTGTTTTGTTCCTCCCATCCTTTATCATCTCCCTGACCCCTCTTCTTGTGCTGGCTGCTGTCCTCACTCCTCAGCTGCTCCCATCCCTGCTGGCACCCCAGGTTATGGGCTGAGGTGCTGCCTGTGTTTCTCAAAATCACTGAGTCCAAAGTAAAATCAGGGATCTAAGGCCTGACAAACCCCTGATAAGAGCATTCCTGCTGCATAACATGGATGCTTTTAGCAAAGAGAGCAAAGGAATTGAAGGGGGAGTCAATAAGCTTCGTAATGAAGGCAGATGCTTGTGTTCATCCAGCATCAGTGTGGAAATGGGGCTGGAAATCACGTAGCTGGAGCCCGTTCCTATTGAAATGAGAATGCACCCACACGAGTGCATCAGCGAGATTAAGCTGTGGTTGGCGTTTTTAAAGTGCTGGAATCGCAGAGCATTCATTATCCCATCACCCCTTTGCAGTGCAGCCACAAATGTCTGTATTTATCCATTTGCTGGCAGTTTGGTGGGGAAAGGCAGCTGGAGCCCGCGGCTGGCTGCTGGTGTGCGGGCTCGTGTGTGACAGTTGTGTCCTTTGCTTCTATTTCTGTAGAGCTATTTTGATGGAATGTGTGGCGATGGGAACTGTCACATCGCAGGCTGTGCAGGGTCCCGGGGGAGCTGAGCTGTCCCACGCTGGGCATTGCTCTGGAGCTGCAGGGCACGGCGCTGCCGCAGTGGGTGACACCCTGGGTCCTGCTGCGCCCTGGCGAGCAGATGGCAGAGCCAGAGGTGGGAGGAGGTTGGTTTTGTCTGCCTTGACTTCCAGGGCGTTTGGTGTTGTGCTGCTCAGTCCAGGCTGTGCCCAGGAGTGTCCAGGCTCTGTGAAGGTCAGGAGAAGCAAAAGGAACGTGGGAACTTTTCTGTTGTGGATTTGTCCTCCCACGCTCCTGACTCGTCCCTCAGCAGTGTCTTCCTCACCTGGTGGGAAGGTGCTCTGAGCAACCCGCTCTAGTGTAAAGGGTGCCTGCCCGTGGCAGGGGGTTGGACTAGGAGGTCTTTGCAGTCCCTTCCTACCCAAACACATTCCAGGGTTTCTTGATCCTCCAGGCTGCTCCATGGGCATTGGCTCAGGCCCAGGGCTCTGCTCAGCTGCCTCCCGTGCAGCATCCCCCATGATCCCTCCGGCGGGTGCCCACCCATCTCCCGTGTTCCCCGGGGACGGGGCCAGAGGTCGGGCTGCGGAGACCCCTCCTCTCCGGGCCTGCGGGGCGCTGCCATCCCGCGGGCAGCAGCGAAGCCCCAGCCCTTCGCTCCCGAGGCCAGAGAGCTCGGCAGCCTTTGGAAACTCATCCTGGAGAGCCCTCTAGCGAGAGCAGCGCCCGCCCGAGCCCGCCGGGCTCCCGGGGATGCGCCGGGATGCTGCTGCACCCGGGGGATGCTCTGGGGGGCTGTCACACCCAAGGGATGCGCTGGGATGTGGAGAAGAGGAAAGAAAGCCCACAAAAGATCTGTTTCTGAGCTAGAAATGGCAGCGCTGGCTGCTGTGCTGTGCCTAGAAAAGCTCTGCAGCCAGAAATAGATCTTCTCCTGCCTTATGAGAGGGCCAAGAATGGAAACTGCAGGTGCATGCCTTGCTCTGGCCTGGGGCACTGTAGCTCCCAGTGCCACAGGTGTGGCTGTGCCCTACCTGTTCCACAGCGTTACACCCCACGCCCTTCCCGGGGACCAAGGTGTGGTGACAGTGGGAGGAATTGGGCATGCTGTGTTTCTAGGATGTGAGGCCAGGCAGAAGCACTGCTGCCAGATGGCCAGGAGGAAGTTCACCCCAGTATAAAAGCAGGGAAAGTCTGTCTAAGGGCAGAGGGGTGATACCCCTGGATGCAGCTGGCTTCTTGCAAGGACTAGCATGAGAAGCTGAGCAGGGTTTCACATCTTTTTCCAGCCTCTGTGATGCCAGAGCTCTTCCAGCTCCAAAATCTTCGGGGCTTCACCTGTTCTCTGTGCACTGGGGGTTGCTGCTCTCCCTCTCCCAGAAAGCCCAGGCACTGTGTGAGCCATGGGTGGTTTCTAGGTCATTCAGTGCTGCTGCTGCCAGAGACACCCCTGGGCTGCACATTGCCTGTCCCTGAGCCACTGTGTGTGTGCAGGGCTTGGCACAGTGAAGTCCTGTGACAGCAGTGAGGAAGGTGACAGTGGTGCCAAGGACAGCCCGCCCAGCTGCTGCCTGTGCAGGCTGCACCTCACTGCGTGGATGGCAACTGCTGGCAGGTGTTTTTGAACAGGTCAGCATCCACCCTGCTCTGCAGAGATGTGTTTGCTGACTGTGCCAAGCAGCACTTGGCAGGCAGAACCCTCAGTGTGACTGACAAAGTCAGGTTATCTCCTTGGCGGTGGTTTGCAGCCAGCGGTGCTGCCAGGCTGGGTCAGGTGCCAAGCTGGAAAATGCCACTCGAGGCATTTTCTTAACTGCTCATCAGGAACAGCAAGTGGAAGCAGGCTTTGCTCCTGCACTGCTCTGGTATCTTCCTGCCCCAGGGCCCTGCAGGTCAGGAGCATCTGCAGCTGGCGGGTTCAGTCCTGCTGATCCTGTTCCTGCCACTCCTTCCCCTGGGCGGTGGGGGGAGCAGGGGGTCCTCACTGGGCACACTGCACGTGTGCAGCCTGCACAGGGACAGATCCTGCTGATTTCCTGCACTCATCTGCCCCAGTTCCCTCGTCCAACAAGTGGGGGGCTGTAGGAGTCAGCCTGTACTTTGTCCTTCTCCTGCCACAGCTCCTTCCCCCTGCAGGGGAGGCGGCTCATTCCTGCTGCGCCAGCGCCGCTGCTGCTCCTGCTGCACTTGCCTTTCCCTTTTCCCTGTGAGTCCCTGGCAGAACCCGTCAGCTGGTTCAGAACGTGGCCACGCTGTCACTCAGGCTGGTCCTCGGGGTGAGTGGGACGTGGGAAGGGGGAGCAGGAGGAGGAGGAGGAGGTCAGGCTGCAGCGTGGCACTGCAGCGCGGCTCACGCTGAAGATCTCCTTATGTAAAATTCATCTGCAGAAATCAGCTGTGCCACTTCGGAGCAGGGAAGTGGGCTGTGCTCTGCTCACGGCAGCTGCAGGCAACAGGATGTTGAGGTTCTGCTTTTGCTTCAGCCTCATGTTTTCGGCTGAGTGTCGATAGGTGTCGAGTAGTCTCCTCTTGCTTGCTGTCCTGTACAGCAGTGAGGGGTGTGCAGGACCCCCTGTCCCCGGGGCCTGGGGCTCTGGGGGCACTGTGGTGCTGGGCCTAGGTGTTCCCTGGGGCCAGTGCACTGCTCCTGCCACTGACCTGCAGGGGAAACCAGCAGCACCTCAGCTTTGGTTCACCCAGGGGAATCCTTGAGGAAGTTTGGAAGTGTTATTGACAGGGGGTAAGAGATTTTCTTTGGCAGAGGTTGGACAGTAAAAGCGTGCAGCAATGACATATATTTAATAAGGGCACCATGAGATGGAAGGCTGGGAGAAAGGATCCCTGCAGGGAGGTTGTTTGAGATGCTCCACAGTGAGGAATGAGCCCTTTGAAGCATCCGACAGAGGCCGGTGTCAGAGGCAGCCAGACCAGATGGACGGGTCTGCTCTGCCCCAGAGGCCTCTCTGCTCATGCAGAGGCATTCCCGGCTCTCAGAGCTGGGTGATGATTCACAGGGAAGCACCGGTCCATGGGCTAAGCCTGCCACGTGAACTCTTGGTCTGGTCAGCAAGGGCCAGCAACACTTCCCTGCACTGGGCTGGGCTGGTTTCACACCAGGACAATTGTCTGCCCTTTCCCAGGTCATTCCTGGGACCTGCTGCCATGAGTGGGGGGAGCCAGCTGGAGTTCTGCACTGCCAGCAGTGCTGCTGCCCGTGACAGATCCTCTGCCAGAGCCCCGGCCATTCCTCGCTGTGCTGCGGCCTCTGCACGGCATCAGAAACATTATCCTCCTCTCTCTAGCAAGTGTGTGGGAGCCGATGAATTTGGGCGTGGGAGCCCTCGTTAGGGGGAAAGTTCCTGAGGGAAAGTTCCCGAGGGAGGCCAGCATGGCTGATTTCTGCGGGAACTGCTGGCTGTTATTTTTAAACAACAATAGTTTAATAAATAAATAAACTTGCTGCCACGGAAGGATATCGCATCAGCCAGGGCTGCTGAGGCCGGTATTTCCTTGCAAAATGGAAGGGGCAGGTGTGTCCCTTCTCTCTGCCCCCGTCCCCCTCTGGTTCCTTGGTACTGGGAAGCCCCCTTCCCTGGGCAAGGCTTCCCAAGGTGGGTGAGCCTTCTGGGTGGGAGCCCCACTTCCTGGGGGGAGTGAGGATTCCTGGGAGCCCCTTGCACCCCTGGGCAGTTCCCAGCCAGCGTGGGGTCTTCTCTGGCACGTCCAGAGTGGAAGGAATCTGCGTCCTGCTGTCTGTGTGACAGCACAGGTGCAGCCCAATAAATGTGAGATGAATTGGGGGGGGATCGGGTTTCACAGTCCACTGCCCTCTCGAGAGGGGGGTTCCTGTGGCGAGGGGGCAGCAGGGCAGCCTGGGGGGGTGACACCGATGTGCCCCGGCCCCGCCTTTGGGCAGAAATAGGTGCATTTGGGAGTTCTCGTGGGAAAGGAGCAGAGAGGCGGCTGTCAGCCCCGGCCGGGCGGGGAGGGGGTTCGGGGACGCTGCCCCGCGTCCATCCCCGCGGCCGGGGGGTCCGGCGGGGGGGCTCCGGGGCCGGTCCCTCCCGGCGGGCGGTGCCGGGGGCGGGCGCTCCCCGCCGCCAGTAGCGCGGTGCGGGGGCGGGCGGCCCGAGCGGAGCGGGGCGCGATGGGGGCGGCGGCGCGGCCGCAGTGAGCCCGGCGGGGAGCGGAGCGGAGCGGAGCGGGGAGCGGCGCCGATGGCGTTCAGCGCCTGGCAGATCCTCTCGCCGGTGCAGTGGGCCCGGTGGACCTGGTCGGCGGTGCGGGGCGGGGGCGGCCCCGAGGAGGGGGACGGCGGGGCCGGGGCGGCCGAGGAGGAGGAGGACGAGGAGGACCAGGACCCTCCGGCGGGGGGCTCGGCCCTCAGCTTCAGGCAAGTGACCCACGGACCCCTCCCCTGCCGCTGCCCGCCCTCCCGCGGCGCCCGCACCCACGCGGGACGCCCACGCGCGGCGTGCGGGGCTGCGGGCGCGTCTCCCCCGGCCCTCTCCCCATCCGCCCCTCGCTGCCCGCTCGCTGCCTGCCTGCCGGGGGTCCCGCATCGCACCGCGCCGGGGGGCTGGGGAGGCCGGGCCGGAGCCGGGCGCTGCTTCTCGGAGGATGCCGGGGGGCACGGGGTCGGGACAGCCGGGCTTCTCCCCGCGGCAGCCCCCGGGGCGGCGGGGGAGCTGCTGCGGGAGAAGACGCTGCGGGGCTGCGTGTCCTTGGAGGCCCGTGGTGGATGCTCAGCTCGGGAATGACCTGGCAGAAGCCCTCCCGAAGGTCTGGGGCACACGGGGGGCTGCTCACGCTGATGTTTCACCTGCTCTCCCTTTTCCGTTTGTCAGCGTGTCCCGCTGGACAGGAGCGAGCACCAGCCCCGGATGCCCACGGCCGGCTGCCGGCCTGGCTGGACCTGTAGGCGGTGTGGAGGATTTCGGAGGTAGCCTTGAAAGCAGTAATTCCTCACTCTTTTCCCCCCCCTCGGCAGCTCGGACTCCACTGATAATTTTGAGACCCCTGAAGCAGAAACGCCGACCTGCTCGCCTCTAAAGGAGTTCTGCGAGCCGCCGGGACCACCAGAGCCCGAGGTCGGGACCCCAGGTAAAGAGCTGGCGTGCACCTTCTGCTCTCGGGGCTCTGCTCCAGAGGCAGAAAGGCAGGGTGGGGTCAAGGAGGCAAAGTTGCTGGCTTTGAATAACGCCTGCCACATTTTTTGTGGTTAATGGCCTGGACGGTTCAAATGCCGGGGTTGGGCTGGGCGCTACACAAGGGGTGTGATGAGTTGATCGCGAGGAGCCTGAGGATGTTGTTAAATTATTTTGGCGGATAAACGTCCCTCTACCACTTTGCCTGCAGCCTGGGGGCTGCCCCCATGCTCCTGGCTGGTGGGAGCTGCCTCTGTGTGCCCCCTGTGTTGCTTGCCCCTGGCTCTCGCACAGGAGCTGGGTTTGTGTCCCCCAGGCTGGTCAGTGGTGGGGATTTCATTTCATGGTCCATTTTTCCCTGGAGTTAGGTGCCAGGTGTCCTTTCTGTGTGGCTGTTGTTAAAGAGGCGAAAGCTCAATGCTGCTAAGCCCCATTTCTGGAGAAATTGTGGGGGATCTGTTGTAAATGTGTGGGGTTTTCTTTGCCGGTGGTCCTGAGCTGTTGCAGGGTGGCTGGGCAGTGTCAGGGTGTCTGTGAGCCCCTGGCGGGGTCTGTGGGAGAGAAGCTTTTCCAGGGTGTGAGGCAGCATGTGGTGGGCCTGGAAGTCCTGGACAGGCCATCCTGGGCATCCCCAGCCCTCTCCTGCCTCCCACTGCTGTGGGCCCTGGTATGTGACGTGCAATGTGCTCACAGCAGTGGCTGGGAGCTTTCTATAGGGCTGGTTTTGGAGCATGTGGCATCATGGCAGTAACAGGATGCCATGGCTCACCACCTCCTGTGATGTTGTTCTGCTGATGGGATGGATCTGGGTGCTCAGCCATCCCTGTGGAGAACACAGGTTTGTTTGCTGTGATGGAGAGAGCATTCAGTTCACCCTTGCAATGATCTTGGGATAATCCTTCTCTTTTAAGAAGGGATGATAGAGGCATCTTTACTTTGGGGATAATGCCTGGGGAGGGGGAGAAGGAGATAAAGACTTTCCTAGAAGGTAGGAGGATCATTTCTGCCAAAGCTCAGGCAAGTGCACTGCCTCAGACTGCAGGGTGTCACTGTCCCTGTGTGTGCCTGTGCCCCTGTCCTGGGACGAGCAGCTCCTGCTCAGCAGCGAGGGAGCGGCTGCTCCTGCACACAAAGCTCCCAGTGTTGCAGAGCCGAGGGGATGATCTCCAGCAAAAGCTGTTTTTCTGTGCTGGCTGGCGGAGAGCAGGATGTTGGAGCCAGCAGAGCCAAACCGTGGTGCCACTGCACCCGGCTCTGGCCCCTTCCTGCCCGCATTTCTGGCCGCGGCTCCTCAGTGTCTCTGGAACGGTGGAGGGAAGGCATTGCCCACGTGCAGACGTGTTTGCAGCGTGCAGAGGCACCCTGGGGTGTTCCACCACCTTACCAATGTAATCTATGCATTAAGGCCTCATCTTTGCGATGCTGCACCACGGCAGCCTGTGCTCTTCCATCCGGCTGCAGCTCGGGAGCAGCAGTGGGAATGAATGCCTGGATGGAGGCAATCCAGTGTAATGGCTGCTCGTCAGCACCAAGGCAGCTGAGCTGTCACCCACAGCCAGAGCCACTGCCCTGCAGTCCCTGGGGAATGGCTGCTGGCCACGCTGGAGTGTGTGGGGGCATTGCTGGAGCAGGACCTGCGGGCAGCAGCGGCATTCCCGACCCGGAGGGACAGCGAGGAGCAGGCCCTGTCTGTTGTGCAGCTTCAGTCTCACCCTGCCTTGGAAATAAATCGGGTGAGGCAATGTGTAAGACAGGAGCTGTGACTCCAGGGCTGGCTGCTCTGCACACAGCCGAGGTGACCTGGCTGCATTAAACTCTGTTCTGGGGGACAGAAATTCAGCCCCAGAGGGGGCTGCAGTGAGGCTTTATGCCCACCCAGGATCACTCAGACAGTTTCCTCTTGCTGTCTCTCATGGTGGGGGCTGTAATGCTGTCCCGTTCTTGCTCAAGTTATCTCCAGTCATCTGCCAGTAGGTATTTTGCAGGAGGAAATGAGCAGAAGCAGCAGATCTGGAGCCGTCATTGCTGGGAGCGGGCTCGCAGGCTCTCACTGCCGTTGCCCTGACGCAGGGCACGTGTTTTCCGGTGCGTTAGCAGCAGCATCGCTTGCCGGTATGCTAATTCTTAACAGAATAGGTTTAAAAATAGCCCAACGGCTGTTGAACACAAGCGGAAAGCCAAAAGAGGAAAGGAGTGGTTGGCGACGGAGGGCTGAGCTGGATGCAGGGGCAGATATCCTGCGCTGAGCCGGGGGAGTGCGTGACTCACGCCGGGCACTGAGCCTGAGCCCGGTCCAAGGCTGGGAGAGTGCAGGGGTGGTTCTTTCCCTGCACTTGGCACGCGGGGCCGCGCAGGGATCTCTGCTGCTCTGCTCGGCGGCTGCCCGGGGGATGGAAAGGGCGCCGAGCCTTTGCCTTGCGGCGCTGCCGCTGCCAAGTGTTCCTGATTCGTCTGAGGGAGCGAGGGGTGGCATGTTGGAAAGCTGTTTAAGTCGGTGTTTGTGTTTAATTTCAGCCCAAGGAAGACAAGCGAAGCAATTATAATGCACAGGCACAAAAGTGCCTATTACTGCGGTGCCAGACTGTCCTGACTGTTTTTCTTTAAAGAATATAAAATTTCGTTTTCACTTTGTAGCATCCCCTCCGGGTACCTGCCTGGACCAGGAGCAGGTTTGCAGCCTGCTGGGACAGCTGGGACAATGGTTGTTCTCGGGGATCCAGCACACCCTGTGCTGGGTCTGTTTGGGACAGATCCCGGAGTCACTGCGTGTGCCATTCTGCTGGCAGTGTCCTTCTTCGTGCTGGGACTAAACTGCCTCCACCTGCCAGGCACGGTGCCAGAGGTGGAACGGGAGAGCCCAGGGTCACCTTTAAAGGATGCTGCAGGAAGGCATCAGCTGGGATGCCTCTGGAAAGGGCTGGTCCGAGGGGGAGAGCTGTGTCTTGTGGGTGGGTGCCAGGCTGTCTTCTCCTGGGGTCCCATGGGGCATTCAGCACAGTTTCAGACCAAAAGGAGGGTTTGAGCAGTGACAGGGCTGGGGGGCAGTGATGGGGCTGGGGGGCAGTGGGAGAGCTGGGGGCCAGCAGCTGGAACTGGGGGACACTGGTTGTTTCCACAAGCTGCTTTCCCAGGCAGGAGCCGTGAGTGGAGGGAGTACGTGCGGAGCCAACACGGTTGCTCACAACGTGACTGCCCGGGGCTGGCGGGAGCTGCGCTCGCTTCAGGAAGTCGGAGCATTCAGAGGAGGAGCAGGGAGAGCCACAGGCAGAGTGCTGGGGCTGGGGAGGGCTCTGGGGGGGCAGAGCCAGTGCTGCAGCGAGGTATCGCCATGCTCGTACCCAGCACTGCCAGGCTGTGGGGGCTGGAGCACAGCACTCTGCTCTTCCCAAGCCCCCCAAGGCCCTTCAGGTCACTGGGTTGTGCATCCTGTGTAATTGTTCCTGCAGGAACCTGTGCTCCCATCGTGCTGCGTTGAAGGCAGAGGAAATGCAGAGGGGGAGGAACTGAGGGAAAACTGCCTCGAGCTTGCAGGAGGGATGTTTCTGCTGCAAAAGACTTCCAAAACCATAGGCAAGCACCTGAGCTGCCCTTCGCCCACACCTCCTGTCTCCCAGTACATCCCAGTTCCTCAGCTCTCGGACTGGCCGAGCGGATGGGCTGTGCTGTGGGAGGGGATGGAGCAGCCGAGCTCTCTCAGGTGCAGAAAACAGGGAATCCCAAAACTGGAAAACTTGGGTGGGTGGTTCTTCTGATTTTTGTGACAAAATGGTTGTTCTGAGCAATGGCCACATGGTGCCATCTCTCCTTCCCTCCCCGCCCTGCAGACACCACAGCACAGAGAGGTGGTTTGCGTGCCGACTGCTTGTTATTCAAGAAGTAATTACTCACTGCTTGGGTTAGAAACCAGGATGGGCTCATGTCTGTGAGAACAGACTGCCAAACCTTCTGCTGGGAACGCAAAATGCACTTAAAAGGTCCTTTTGCCCTGACTTTGAAGTCTGTTCTTCTGTTCAGGGCTGTCTCAGGAAGGCTTCAAACACCTGAGCAACACAGCAAGTGTAATGAAGTTTTCTTTGGGGTCTTTTAAGAAAGTTTTCCTGGTTCCTAATGATGGGAAGGCCTGGCAGGCGCTGCCTTGGACTGGCTGCACTCCAAGTACTCATCCACTAGATTTGTGTTTACTGATGCGTTTTCTGGGGCATCAAGGCAACATCTACTTGGAGGGAGCTTTTTTTGCAGTCACAGGGAGCATTTTTGCAGTCACAGGGAGCGCACAGACCCTCATGATTCATTTCCATGGCTTTTAGCATCCTGGGGATCAATTATGCAAACCACAAGCCATCAGCTGAGTCAGGATCGTTGGCTCCATGTCCTGGGTTAGCCTCAGGACCAGATATTTGCCTGATGCACTTTTCCTCTGCCAGGCTGTGACTCTGTCACCAGCAAACCCCCATTCCGTCATACCTTGAGAGCAAAGGAAAGATTAAACAGTAAAAGGATTGAGGGGAAGGGATCAGAGTAATAGTGATTAAGTCATGGATCAGGATTTGTGATGAGGAGATGCTGACAGCAGTGTGGAGAGCCTGGCGTGACTGCAGCAGGATTCCTGCAGGTGAAGAGTCAGTTTGCATCTGGCAGCTTCCCCCTGCCTGGTGCACACCCAGCCCTGCAGCCCCGGCACCAGGCAGCTGACCCCCAGATCCCCCCTGCAGCCTGTTTCTGCTTCTTCTTGAGCACACCATTCCATTCTCCTTCTCCCTGGGGCCTGCTTAGTCACATTTCATGGTGTTCTCTCCTGTTGTGCTTCCCTAAACACCCCTTGCTAATTTTTAGCTCTCTGCTCAGGTGAGAAGTGACTCCCTGTCATCTGGCAGGAGGGAAGCTGAGTTTTGAGTCAGTGGATTCTCCACAAAATCTGAACCTGGAGCAGCTGTGAGGAGGGGACAGAAACCCCTCGGGGAGGGGTTGCACTGCAGGTGGAGGTTTAACCATGTCCTTTTATTTTTCAGAGCCAGGTGACCATGGGGACCTGCTGGTAGGGGGAGCCTGCCCGGCTGGCTCTCCCAGGAAGCACTCCAAGGATGAGGCTCAGCCGGAGACCGGAGCCCCTAAAGCCAGCTCAGATGCTAAAGGGGAAACTGGCCCCGACAGCTCATCCCTGACACAGCCTCTGGCCGGGCAGGGCTGCAGGGCTGACCCTGGCCACGCTGCCGTGCCCGCTGCAGAGCCAGCCCCGGTGCCCCATGCGGGCACAGCCACCGGGGAGCGGGTCATGTCAGGAGGGGACGTGGCAGACGCTGGCACGGGGCTGGTGGAGCTGAGGGCTGATGGCCTGGCCCAGGAGCAGCTCGGGAAAGGGAAAACACCTTCGCTGGGGAGGAAAACAGAAGAAGCCACAGAGGAGACCCCAGTGCCCCAAGCATCCTACCAGCTTGACCCCGAGCAGTGCGACGGGAGCGTGAACCCCGCTGTGGCAGGGAACTGCCAGCTGCAGAGCTCTCCCCTGGCAGCCCCATGCCACCTCCCCCATCCCAGTGAGCTGGGGGGGGACCCAGCCCCAGAGCCCGCAGGGCAGGTCCCAAAACCTGAGGTTGGTTTTACGGAGGTGGGAGAGAGCACAGAGGCCCGGAGAGCTTCACCCAGGAGGGGCAGCAGGATCCCGGCCAGCAAGCTGACACCAAAGAGACACCGAGAGCCCCCCAGGAAACCAGCTGAGGATGCAGAGAGGGGTCCCATGGAGCCACCACCGCCCCGGGGCTCCCCCCAGCTGGGTCCCCGTCACAACTCCCTCAGTGGCAGCTCAGCACTGCAGAACTTGCCAACTCTCCCAAAGGGCTCTTACCAGTTTGACCCCAATAACTTTGACTCTGTGGATCCATTCAAGCCCACCAAGACACTCGCCAGCACTGCCACCGACTCCTGCTCCACTGCAGATAACAGCCTCAATGAAATCCTCGAGTCTCAGACGCTGGAGGCGCAGGATGATCCCCTGAAAGGCAGAGACTCCCCCAAGAAGTCCAAGTCACGCCTGATAACGTGAGTGCTGGTGTGCATGGAGCCGGTGCTGTGGCCCCCTCTGCTCCCCCCTGTGCAGGCAGAGCCGTGGTGGTGATGGTGGTGATGGTGATGCTGGTGGTGCTTCTGCTCCGGTGCCTTCTGAGCAAGCCCAAAATCCCACTGTGCACCTCAGGTTCTGCTGCTGCCCCTGTGTAATCTGCCCCTTGTCCTGGCGGAGGGACAGCTCCCCTCTCCCTGCTGTGAGCAGAGGGACAGGTGTCCTGATGCGGTGCCAGTGTCCTGAGTCCAGGCAGAGCGGGGCAGGCTGGATTGGGACCTGCCTGCAGGATCACCTCTTTGGAAACCCCTCGAGAGCCCAGCTGGTGGGTGCAGGTGTGGTGTCAGAGGAAACCTGCAGCGAAGGCTGGAGCTGGTGGGTTTTCTGGGCTCACAGGATCTGGTGGACACAGGTGTGTCATTGGTCAGGTGTTGCTGGGACACTGTGTGAGCTGCCACTGGATTTCTGTTTTATATCAGGGGAAGCAAACAGGCTGGACAGGCAGATTGTTACTCTGCTGCCTGATTCTCTGGTGGGAAAACTGGAGAGCGGGTTTTTACAGAGAGAGAGAGCCTCGCGGGCAAAAATCAGGCTGTGTTGGATGTTTCTGTCCTGGAAATACTTTGCAGAGAGTGGATACAAATTCTTTTAGAGCTGGTGTTCTCACGTGTGGCTGTGTGTGAGCAGAGCTGACAGGGAGGGGAAGCAGCAGGGAGTTCTCTGCATCCCTTTGGAGCAGTGTGGGCAGCTCTGGGTGCTCACCGCCCTGGCAGTAAGGTTTGTGGTTGGATCTCACCCCGCTGCTGGGGATAGCAAATGCAGGATCAGAGCATCCCATGTGTGTGTGCCTTCCCAAAGACTGAGCTGGGCAGCTCACTGTGCTTCTCCAGAGCAGAGTTAACATCCAGGTCTTTTCACACGCTCTTCTTCTCTCCATCTGTCCGTCTCTCTCCCTGTCCGTGCTTTGGTGCATCAGGACTACTGAGCAAGTGAAATTTCTCTGTTTTCTGTTGTAAGTACTCTCTCCTGTATTCCTTTTCTTTTCCTTTGCTGTTTTTGTCCTCTCTCTGGGTGTGTGCTGCCCCAGTTGTCTCCATGGCATGCCAGCTCCTTCTGCCCTTTGACTTGTGCTCTCTGCTGTCTGGTTTGTGTCCCGCACCCCTCGGCCGGGTCCCCGGGGCGGCTTAGCCTGGCAAGTGCCTGGGAGTGAGGGAGGAGAGGAGAGCAGAGCTGAGCTGAGCTGCACCAGAGGCCTGTGCTTGCCCTCACAGCATGCCACCTCACAGCATCTTCTGGTGGTGGACAAGTGCTCCAACCTTCAGCTGATGGAGGGGGAGCAGGTCTGTGTGCAATCCAGAGCTGTTATCTTGGTGCTGGGGGGAGCTCAAAGCAGCTACCAGATGATGTGATAACCGTGGTGCAGGAGAGGGCGCAGAGCAGGGTGTGTCTGGCTGCTTGCAGCAGGGCACGAGGGAGGAAAGCAGTGCAGTGATTCCTCAGTGAGAGCCAGGTGTGCATGGCAGCGTGCAAAGGAACCCTGCGTGCCACGTCGCTCAGTGTGCTCTGCTGCGCATGTGTGCGATGGGGAGGCTGCAGAGTGCGGTGGGTGGGGGCCACTCCCGAAACCTGGGAACAGCTCAAGCCTCTGACCATGTCCCCACGAAGGGGAGCACAGTGTCTGGAGGCCAGGATCCCTCCCCAGCTCCCTGCAGTGGCTGTCACACGAGCTGTTCCAGCCCAGCGAGTGCCTCCTGGGTGGTCGGACACGGCCACGAGCCTGGGAGATCGCTGAGTGTGGAGTGAGAGGGGGTGAGATGCAGGAGGAAAGCTTGTGTTCTGCCACCCACATTCCCGCTGGGACTGTCCCTCTGCTGCCTGGTGCTCGTTCAAGGAGCTGATGCCCGGTGCACTGGGATGCAGCTGTGCCTGCAGTCCCGAGCGGATGGCCTCTGGATGGGTGTCTTGAGGAATGTGGGATGAAGTTCCAGGGAAAGCTTCCTCGCTGGAGGGCAAGGGGACCACCTGCAAGACCCACCTGGGCTAAACTTCCCACCCACAAGGCCCTTCTCCTTGGGACAGTGTTTGCTTCAGGTGGAGTGTTCATTGGAGGCACAGCGCATTGCTCCGGTGCTCTCCCGCCCTCTGCACGGGTCTGACTCACATGGGAGACATGTGGATGCTGTGGAGAAGTCCCAGACAAACCTCCAGCTGCAGGGACAGCCTGGAAATGGTCCTTCCTGCAGAAAATCAACACGCCCTGAGGCCCTGGGTGCCCTTGCAGTGGATGCACGGGGCGAGGGTGCAGCGAGGGAAATCCTTCTTTGGCGGCTCCTTGGCAGTCGCCTCTCTCGCCGTCAGCCCCTCGGGGTCCTTACCTTCCTCAGGAATAAACACCTCACAGACAAACCCAACTGCTCTGTAGTCGTGTCTTTTGTTTGCCTGTTCCTTCTGTTCCTTCCAGAACTCGCTCTGCCTCGGTGTTGATGGGTGAGTGGGGTGCTGGCACGCGGCGGGTGCAACGCTGGCGCTGGGGCTGCCTCCCCCTGCTTGGGCTGTCTCACACGCACCCCGCCTGCCCCACACTGCCCCCCGGCCCCTCCTCAGCCCCTGCTTCTCTCTCCCACAGGAGTGGCTGCAAGGTGAAGCAGCACGAGGCGAAGCCCCTGGCCCTGGATGTCAGCGCTCAGGTACGTGGGGGGGTCCCACTCACCCCCAGAGCTGCAGGGCTGATCCCCCTGGACTCGCCCAGTCGTGCTTAACTGCCTGCCTTGGTCGTGCAGGAGGAAGGAGTGCTGATCTCAGAAATCCCAGATATTGCCAATAGGGATGGACATGCCACTGATGAGGAGAAGCTGGCCTCCACCACCTCCGGGCAGAAACTGGCTGGGCTGGACAAGAAGGCTGAGCCAGAGGATGACCTGGAGTACTTCGAGTGCTCGAATGTCCCCGCGCCCGCGGCGAAGCAGAGACCAGAGGCAGGTAAGGAACAGCCCCACTGGCTCTGGGAATGCACTCAGGGAACCTGCCCTGTCTCCCAGGCTGCAGGATCCCTGCTCAGAGCCTGTGCCAGGAGCAGGGCTCAGTGTCCCAGCACAGGAGCTGTGGCTGATGGAGATCTCAGTGATGCTACAGAGACCCTTGCTATTGCTCCTGGAGGAATTCCACTGCCAGTCTCCCATGTAATTAGCCTCTCTGACCAAGCCATTACAGAATAATTAAAAGCCAGGCGACATGACATTTAATCAATAGCCAAGCCCTAGGTGCAAGCAGGAGAGATCACCACAGGAGGTTTGCAGCCCTTCCCTCTGCAGGGACCCATTAATCATTTCTCCTATGGCTGTGCTGCTCTGCCGGCTCCAGGGAGAGGAGAATGGTCCTTTGTCCTCAAGGGAGGAAAATCTGACAGCCAAGAGAGAGGCTGGGAGGGTTTATTTATTGCTGTTGATCTCGGAGGGCCAGGCAGGTGCACAGGCTGGATGCTGGCTGCAGGGATGGGGTGGGAGCTGTGGATGCAGCCACTGGCCAGGGCACAGGGATAAATAGAGGGAAACAGTGGGAAATCTGCAGTCACCATCATTCTGTTACCTCATTCCTTTCTGAGCTGGGCTCCTGAAATACATTGTTCTGTGCCCAATCAACATCTGAATCATGTCTGCAGTTGTGTGAGTGAGGTCCATAAATTACCCCCCGTGCTGTGTGAGGCAGCTCCATGGGCACAGGGCAGGGTGTCCCTCCCTCGGGGCAGGGTGTCTCTCCTCTCTGCTGTTGGGAACAGCAGGGGCCATGTGGCAGCTCCTTTGGAGGGTGTTGGGACCAGCTCGTGGCTGAGCCTCGTGCTGTTTGGAGTGGTCTGAACATCCCAGGGATGGATCCTGCCCAAGTGCAGGATGTCTCATGCATCTTCCCCCTCCTCGGTCACCGTGGTCTCAGGGAAGGACTGGCATGGGTGGCAGCCATGGGGACACGGGCAGGGGCTGAACTGCCACCAGAGGGGGGTGTTGGTTTCCACTCCAGGGAGTGCAGGAGGGCTGGCACGGGGCAGGATGTGGCACTTGGGGACCTCAGTGGTCTTAGAGGACTTTTCCAGCCAGAATGATTCCGTGCAAGGGCAGGAGCTGGGGGAAAGAAGCCTTTGGGAGGGGAAGCTCAGGGGATGGAGAGGCTCAGGGGTACCCTCCTGCCCCCAGAAAATCTGCACGTGCCCCAGGATCCTGTTTCCAAGCCGATAAAAGGTTGTGTTTCCTTGTCTTTAGGCTTCGAAAAGGAGATCTGCAAGCAGATGGAAAAGGACGGGCCTGGCATCTTCCCTGTGAGTGCCTCTCGCTTCCTCCTCTCTGAAATGAGTTTCTTTGGGAGGTAAAATTCTTGACAAGCCCACGCAGAGACTTGATAAAAATAGCGGAGGTTTCCTGGCAGGCCTGGAGGAGCCTGGCAGAGGCTGAGCCCTCCTGGATGGGCGCTGTGGTGTGGGAGCAGGGAGGGAGGGAGGCAGGGAGTGATGCTGGGGATGGAGCAGGGCTGGTGCAGAGCCAGGGCAGCTCTGGGAAATGGCTGAAGGACAGAGAGGGGGCAGAGGAGACCACGGGGAGGGGACAAGCTGCTGGACACGGGCTGTGACTCACGTGGAGTGTCCAGGGCTGGCTCTGATGTCCTGTCTGTGCCAGTGCCTTCTGCACGGGATTCTCAACCACTGCTCTCAGGAAGGCAGCTGACAGCAGAGACAGGGCATTAATAGAAAAGCCCTGGCTTTGCAGCTACCCCAACCCTGGCACCCCCACAGTGGCAGCTCTGTGCAGGGGCACCCCTGACGTGCCCCAAGGAGCCCCAAGACTCCTCCACTGCGGGGGGACCCAGTGCCAGATTAGCCATCCCTGCCCAAAGCTGCTCGAGGTGACAAGCAGATGACAATGAGATTAGCAACATCAGCAGAACCAGCTCCTCTGAGACAGATTTAACTGTGCTGAGCCCCACAAGGACATCAGGCAAAGTGAACCTCTTGTTCTGTGCCCTGGGCAGCGCGGTCAGACCTCAGTCCCACAGACAAGCTGGTACCCAAAGGTACCTGTGGGTGCTCAGGCATGCACCTGCCTTTGGGAGATGCTGTGGGATGCCAAACCTCCTCAGGGTTGGGGTGCCTGGACCCAAAACTACCCCCATGGGTGGCCCTGGGGGATCCCCACCAGGGGCCATGGCTGCAGCAGGGCTGGGAGGGCCACGAAGGGCTCGTTGTGCTTGAATTGAGCAGCAGCCAAAGCCCCGGGGAGGAGGGAAGGGGAGAAGTGCTCCAGTGCTCTGGTTTCCAAAGCACGAGGAGCAGGCTGCCTCCTTCCCCCCAGCACTTCTCTATTTATGGCCTGGCAGCCCGTTCCCAAGGAGATGACTGCACGGCTGCCACTCGGCTGGGTGATGAAAGGAGGAACAGGCGGTGCTGTCAGCCCGGCTTGGAGGAATGTTCCTGGAGGCCTGTCAGGCTGCAGGACCCCCTGGGGGAAGTGATGGGGCTGGAATCCACTAAAACCTCATAAAGGCTCTCCCAGGTGTCTGATGCAGGCTCTGGGTTGTCCATGTGTGCAGGAAGGGAAGTGCAGTGCCTGACCAGAGGCTGATAAAACAGGGGAGAACACTCCAAACAGGGGAGGTGGGGTGAAAGAAACCGCCCATGGCATCCCAGCTGGGTAATTCCCCCAGGACAATCCCGGGCTGTGCCCCATGGACAAGTGCCCCAGCAGGAGCGAGGGTCCCCTGGACGGCATCTGCCTCAGCGAGTCGGAGAAGACGGCCGTGCTGACGCTCATCAGAGAGGAGGTAACAGCCCAGGGTCCCCGTTCCCAGGGCTGCCCCTCCCCACACCCCAACCTGCCCACTGCCATGGGGGGTGGGAGCAGCACCGCTCTGCCCTGGGGGGGTCTGGTCCCTCTGGCAGCGAGGGGAAATCCCCCCAGAGCACATCCCAAAGGTCCCGTGTCTGCTGCAACCCAGATCATCACCAAGGAGATCGAGGCCAACGAGTGGAAGAAGAAATACGAGGAGAGCCGGCAGGAAGTGCTGGAGATGAGGTAGGGGCCATCCCCTGGCTCTGGGCTCCGTGCATTCCCGGCGGGAAGAGCGGGCTGTAATGGGATGACACGGATCAGCCAGGGTGGGATGTCTCAGAGAGATGTTCTCTTTGTGCTGGTGCCGTGTCAAGCCTGCTCGTTCCTTTGTTGGGGGAATAAAAGCCCTTTAGCTGTGCCAGCCCCAGTGGCAGTGGCAGAGGGGGGTCTTGGCCTGGAGCAGCAGTGATGGGTGTCACAGCCCCAGCATACGGGGCAGGTTGATGCCAGCAGAGCTGGAGGTGTGTGTCCACAGAAAACTGCAGCCTCTCACCTGATTTTTTTCTTTCTTCCTTCTAGGAAAATCGTGGCTGAGTATGAGAAGACCATTGCCCAGATGATAGGTACTGTGCTGTCAGCTGGCCAGGCGTGCAGGGCAGGGATCTGGCTGCCTCAGCCATCCCTGCTCAGTCACTGTGTCCGTGTTGTTTGTTCTCCACCACAGAGGACGAGCAGAGGACCAACATGACATCTCAGAAGAATCTGCAGCAGCTCACGATGGAAAAGGAGCAGGCTCTGGCAGACCTGAACTCAGTGGAGAGGTCCCTGTCGGATCTGTTCAGGAGATATGAAAACCTGAAGGGCGTCCTGGAAGGCTTTAAGAAGGTCCTTACCTTGGGTTCCCCTCTGTCCCTGCAGCCCTTGTCCCTGGACACAGGGTTCCCATAAAGCCACACTCCATCTTTCCGTGCTGCTGAGCTGGATAAGGGGCTCCAGCATAAGGCAGAGGCTGTTTCTATTTAAAGCCTTTATTTTTACACTCAGAACAGGATCTATCATCCCATCAGAGCAATGTCTCCGTGCCCAGTCCCAATGCAGATGGGTGTACTTTCTTTTCCAGAATGAGGAAGCTCTGAAGAAATGTGCTCAAGATTATCTAACCCGGGTCAAGCAGGAAGAGCAGCGGTATCAGGCCCTGAAAGTCCATGCAGAAGAAAAATTGGACAAGTAAGGTCATGCATGAGATTGCTGGGTGCTTCAATACTTGCAGGGCAGCAGCTCCATTTGCTTTTCAGAGGCTGGAAGGCAGGAGCTGAATGGTGTGAAAAGCTGCATTTTACAACCCCAGGCCCAAGTGACTCTTAAGTAAGGCAGCACAAATCCCTGAATGCATTCTCTGATCTCTGCTTATTTATTTTCTAATGGAGAATCTGAAGTTCACGGTCTATTTACAGTCACTTACCAAGTTCCCCTGTTTCAGAGAGCTCCTGTTTGTGGTGTGCAAAGGGGCCACACAGCCCCTGGGCTCAGCTGATGAGCAGGAGCTCACCAGCACGTTGTAGCCCTGAGCAAAGTGGGTGAGGAACTGGTTTAGGGCAGAGTTTCCTACAGGAGGAGCCGAATTAATCCCATTTCATCCAGTTCCCATACGGGAAAACCACCTCTGGTGCATCCAGGCCAGCAGGAGCCGGGCTCTGCTGATACCCCAAGCTGCGCCCTGGTGCTCCTGCCTGCACCCAGACCTGAGCACCAGCCCTTTCTCTCCATCCCCCTGCAGAGCCAACGAGGAGATCGCCCAGGTGCGCACGAAGGCCAAGGCGGAGAGCGCGGCGCTGCACGCGGGGCTGCGCAAGGAGCAGATGAAGGTGGAGTCCCTGGAGAGAGCCCTCCAGCAGAAGGTAACACGCCTGCCCCACAACTCTCTGCCAGCCCTTTTTTTGTGTGTGTGTTTCGTGGGGTTGGTTTGGTTTTTTTGGGCAGAACGGGCAGAGCTCACTTACGTGTGCCCGCTCACAGAGATGTGGGCTGGGCACAGTGAGGTGGGCTGGGGCCGGGCAGCTGCAGGTCTCTGCAGCACTGGGGTCTGACAGGGATGAGGAGGGGTCTCCAGGGAGCCTGGATGCACAGAGGAGCTGTCACAGGGGCAGGTCTAGCAGCCAGCTGCCCCTTCCTGCACAGGCTCGGTGGCAGATGAGCCTGGGTTATCCCCCCCTCTGCCACCACAGGGGTCCCCAAGGTCTGCTTTTCTTCCAGAACCAGGAGATCGAGGAGCTGACCAAGATCTGCGACGAGCTGATAGCGAAGCTGGGGAAGTCAGACTGAGCCCCACCGCCCTCGCCCGGCACTCTGCACTTGGCTGCTTTTCTCGTGACGTCAAGCACCTTGCCTTACCCCCGGGACCCCCCTGCAGCGAAGAACACGTGTCCAGCTGCCCCCCTCAGCTGCTGGATCCGTGGCTCCCCAGCAGAGCTGCTCCCCTTGCTGTCCCTGTCTGCTTCCCACAGCTCTGGGACTGGGATCCCTGCAGTCAGGCTGGGAATCCTGCGGTCAGCCAGGGCCTGTGTGTCCCTCCCAGGGCCTGCTGTGCTGTCCATCTGCCCCAGTGCCACCTCTCAGCTGGGAGGTGACACCTCAGGCTCTGTCCCCCTTGGCTGGGCTGGGTCTGGTTGTGTCCCCACCACACTCTGTTCACTCACTGTCCTCACGGGCTCAGCTGCACAGGTACAGCCACGTGGTAGGTCCTGCCCTGGGACACGGGTGATGCCAGGGCTCGCCCTGCTGGCTCTTGCACTGGGAAAGGGGGCCTGGCACACGCATGGCCGGTCTCTGGTTTGTGGGTGAAGCACAGCACAGCCCGTCCCTGTCCCTGGCCGTGCCAGCCTCAGAGGACGGAGCCAACATCTCTGCATTCGTGCACTTTATGAGCATTTATGGGCACTCTCTCAGGCTTTCTGCTCACTCCTTCCAGTCAGGCACAGCCCTCCTGCACGCCTCGGTTCCCCCAGAGCACCAAACAGGCACGTAAGCAGTAGTAACTTCAGTCCTCTCGGTGGAGGGTCCAGGTGAGGGGAGGCAGGGGAGCTGCTGCACCAGGAGGTGTTTGACAAACAGGGGAGATGTTGGTTCTGGGGAGCTGGGACTGCCTGTCCTCCCCGTGGCCCCTCCCGTGGCTCGTCCTTCCCGTGGGGTTGAACACGGGCAAAGCCAAGGCTGTTGCTGTTGGCTCCGGGTGCCGTGGCGAGGTCAGGGCGCTGCTGTGGAGGCTGCAGGAGGAAGGAAGCAAACCCTGAGCTGCCCCACGGCTCTGCTGACTGAGAGCTTTTCCAGAAGGGCAGAAGGAGCTCAGTGCTGCCCTGGCTCCCACGCTGCTGTCAAAACTGCCCTTACAGCACTGAATATTAAGAGAACCCAACAAAACCCAGCCTTTACAGGCACAGGCAGACCCAGACACTAAAATAGCCTTTGAAATCTGCCTGGATGCAGCCCTCCCTGGTGAGTTCTGGCGCTGTTCACGCCATGCAGTGCCACGTTTCCCTGCCTGCAGTGCCTTGGGAGCAGCACTCGGTGCCCAGCCTCAGGCAGGGGCTGGTGACGTGTGTGTGTGCCATGGGCCGTGATCTGGAGTGTGCCATGGGGCAGGGGGATCTGTGGGTTGTGGGCACAGCCCCTCGGGGTCAGGGCAGACCCAGCCCATGCTGCAGGAGGCAGATGGATGGGATCGGGAAGGAGCTGCAGTTGTGGATTCTCTGCCTTGAACGGGTAGTCCTAAAGTGTGAGATAAGGGAAATATTTGCAGTTTGGACTGTTTCCTGCCCAGCCTGTTGAACACTTTCACAAACCTTTTTGCTGCTACGTTTTTGTAACAGAATTGAGCTCTTTTCCTTCTATTTTCTAATTCCCTGTGTTGAGCATGCAGAGCAAACACCTGTTTAAGCCAGAGCCATACACTTGATTATATTTTATTAGTTATATAATGTATAGAGAGAGTTTATTATACACCTAAGCAAAGCCTGCCCCAGCACACAGCCTCCCAGCCTGCTCTCCATGCTCCCAGTTATCCCAGTGATGGGCTGGTCACTGTGTGATGGGAAGCCAGTGGCTGACACCACTCGGAGCTGTGCACCTGTGGCTTGTGCTGGATATTCACCCATTGCACAGTTGACAGGAAGAACCTTTCTTTCCCTCTTTTTTCTTCCCCTTTGACCTCCCCACGTGTCCCTCTCCCAGGCTGGTGGAAAAGCCTCAGTCATACAATCAGCAAAGACTGTTTCTGTCCCACTTGGGGGGATCTGATAAAGCAAATACCTGAGACCCAGAGATTTCTTGAGCAGTTGGGGTTTTGTCTTTGCAGCTCTTGAGGAGCTGGAGAGCAGTGTAGCACAACCTCTCAGAGCTGGTGAAAGGCTGGTCCCAGGTAGGGACTGCAGCAGCCTCCTGCCCTGCTCAGGGCCGTGATGCTCGTGTGCTGGCTTGGCTCCACGTGTGAGGTTGTCTGAGGTTGGTCTCTCCTCGGGGTGCTGCTCTGGCCCTCGTGGCTGGCACGGAGTTGCAGAAGTTTGGGTTTCACCACCCGGCACTTCCCCAGAGCCCTGACCTGCGCACGGTGTGGTCACTGCTGCATCCTTCCCCTCCGAGCTGTCTGCAGAGCACGGCTCCACGGTGATCACCCCCAGGGCAGAGCCCTCCACCCCTCCTGTCCTGTCCCTGCTCCCCCATGTCACCCGGTCCCTCCACGCTGCCTCCCTCACCTGGCGCTGTCCGACCCTGGGCCTGTCCGCTTGCACCCCAGTCTGGGCCAAGAAGATTCCTAAGGAATGATTTATCAACTATAATATGGTTATAGTTACATATATATAAATACATACATAATGGCTATAGTGCTATAAAATAGAAGGTGTGTGCTTGCAGAGGGGCAGGACTGTTGTGTCTCTCGTGCTGAAGTGCCAACACTGTGGCATCCCCATGGCCAGCATGGGAACAGCCGGTCCCCCTGCAGGGCGTCCCAGCCTGGGTGTGTCTGTCCTGTGATCCTTGCAGTAGAGTTTAAATGCCCCTTTCTGGCAGTGACAGGCCCTGCCCGTGTTGCTACTTGCAGTGTGCATTTGCCAGCAGATCTGTCTGTAATGAAGTGCCAACCCCCCAACCACTGACAGCTTCCCCCGTCCCCCCAGTGTGATTCCCCAGGCAGGACCTTCCTCTGCTCTGACTCTGCTTCGTGCCATGCGTGTAACTGCCATCGCCATCAGTTTTATATGTATGATAATTTCCCTTTTATATGTCAGGTAAATATTTGTAAGAGTTATACTCACACAAATGAGATTATTATAATGATTACTAATATATTTTTTTTCCCATGTTTCATTGCCTGAGTAAAAATTGTGTTTATCACTCTTGGAAGCTTTCTTGGTGTTTGTGGGGTGGGTGAAGGGTGTTTGGAGGAGTTGGCTTTGCCTTCCAGGGTGGGCCACGTTCTGCCTCGTGTTTATTAATGTGGTTTGCGTTGCAGCTGGTTTCAGATAAGCACAGTTATCATCTGTGCCTGAAATCCATGTTCCTGAGCTCTGAAATTCAGACCTGGAGTGACTTTGCTGCCCCTGGGACTCCCACCATGCTGCAATGACGCTGAACTGCTGACGCTGAACCACCAGCACCGCTCCCACGCTCTGCCTGCTCCTGTGCCCCAGCCTGGCCCGTGCCCTTGGGGAGCTGTGTCTTGTCCTCCCCAGCTAAGATGGCATTATCCAGGGGCTGCAGTGAGGCGTCATCCCCTTCCCCCTGTCCAATCACCCAAGCAGATTAGCTGTGAGAGCTTAAGACAAAACAGCAGCTACGCACCCCGCGCTGCACACTGCTGAGAATGCCCTCCCTGAAGACCCTCCTGGCCCTGGCCATTGTCACGTCCCTGGCTGGAGAAAGTAAGTGTCCCCTGGCTCCAGGTTACAGGTAAATTGCTGTAGCTGCTCCTGTGCTTGCTGCTGCCCTGTCCCTGCACCCGCCCGCGGGCTCCCACTGTGCCCCCGTCCCACGCTGCTCCCACCCCTTGCACGAGGTGGTCTCTTGTGTGGGGAAGGGGGCTTTCTCCTTTGAGTAGCACGCAGAGGAGCCCCCTGCCCTTCGCCTCTCTGCCACTGGCACAAAGCCTGGGTGTGCAGGGACTGCAGAGCCTCCGGTGTCCAGCTCCAGTGGAGCCGAGGAGGTACCTGAGCCAAAACACAGCAGCCTCTCGTGGCTGGGGCTGTGCTTCCCAGCTAAAACTTGGTTCCTCCAAGGCAGAATCACAAAAAGCCCTCGTTGAAGTCAGGAGGGGGGTTGCACTGCTCAGAGCAATGCCATGGAGTGGGGGTAGCTCTGGACTGTTTTGGGGTCTTTGGACCGAGGCAGGGTGAACCTGCCTGTGTTTTTAGCTCAGGGCAGATGAAAGGCTGTTCTGTGCTGTGAAGAACCGCAAAGGAGATGCAAAGCAGCCCCTCAGAGGCAGCTGGGCCACTGTGGGTCAATGGCAGGCGCTTACTCGCATCTGACCCCATGAAGTCCCAATTCTCCCCACTCGTGGTTTTCCTCCTCTCCCTGAGATGAAGGTGGGGGCTCTGGCCAGGAGCCTGTCCCCACTGCCACGAGAGGGCTCTGCTCCGCCAGCAAAGCAGAGACGAGTTACTCCCAACACCAGCGGTACTTTACCCATCCCCATCCAAATCAAGGATTCATAATTTCAGGAGAGAGCAGGATCTTCAGGTTTGCGTTTTTCTGGTCTATGTGCGTGCTCCGAAGGGTCGCACCACTATCGGCTCCGACACACAGGAGCAAGGGGCTGGCTGTTGTCTGACCTGCCCATGCCCTCCTCTGAGGACGATCTGGAGATGGCTCGTCCTTCCTGACGGACTCGCCTGCGTGGCACTTTGCTGCCTGTCACCGCTCTTGTCCCCTTTAGGCTGAGCTTCCTGAGCCCAGGGTAGTGTATGGGAGCTGCTGTCATTTACAGACACAAATACACAAAGCCTGCTCCCACAGGTTGGATGAATCCTCCCTTCTCCCCCATGAAACACTCATTAAAATGAAATTTGGCACAAGAAGACCTGTGACTCCCTGTCCCTGTGCTGGGGTTCACCAGTGCCTGTAGAGACCCAGAGACTCTGGCAGAGCACTGGGGGCTCCAGTCACTGCTCTCACTCCTCCTTCTCCTCCTCGTTTTTGCCAAGGTAAAGCGCTGAAATGCCACAAATGTGTTGCGTCCAACGAGAACGACTGCAACAAGCAGGGCTCCCACAGCTGCCCCCAGTACGCCGACGCCTGCTCCACCATCACTGCTCCCAGTAAGTCCTTTGGCTTGGGGGACCGGGGGTCCTGGGGCGTGGGGGGACTTTAGGGGCTGGGAACAGGAGGGTGAGGAGAAGCAGGGGACCTGCTGATGGAGCAGGAGGTGGCCTCCTCTTGCGGGCAGGAGCGAGACCTTTTCATTCCACGTCCGCACCGCAGCGTGCTGGGACTCAGCCCTGCTTTCTCCTCTCCTCCCGCAGTGAACCCCTCGGTTCCCGGGAGTGCCTGACCCCCCCCGTGTCGCGTTGCCTTTCCTTGCAGACAGCGTCATTAAGTCCTGCTCCTACAAGTCCTTCTGCGACCAGGCGCGCCGCGGCGGCTCCGGCGGGGCTACCGTGCGATGCTGCTTCACCGACGACTGCAACGGGCCGGCGGGGGGCTCCCGGAACGGCGGGGGGGTCCCGCCGCCGCCCCTGCCCAGCCTGCTGGCCGCGGCGCTGGCCGGCACGCTGCTGCTGGGCTGGCTCTGAGGGGCCCGGCGTAGCTGCTCGCTGCTCTAGCCTAGGGATGCGCGGGCAGGGGGCTCTCTCTGTGGGAGGGGGGGGGTCCCGCTGCCACCAGTCCAATAAACGCTGCCGTTGAGAACCGTGCTCGCAGCCTCTCATTGACAGGGACACCAGAACCACGACAGAACGTCCCGAAATGGGCTGGGTTGGCTCCTGGGGGGCTTTGCCAGGCAGAGCGCGAGGGCCCGGAGCAGATTCCCCCCTCTCAGCTGTCCCAACAGAGATGCCTTTGGGCTGCTTTCTGCTAACTTGGCACTCGGCTGTGGGGAGCAGTTTCTTTCCTCCTGTGGCTGCAAAGACGTGGGGGAGATGTGGGGCTGCTCTGTGGTCCCAGCTAAACGTCTGCTAGAAAGACCCCCAGGAGTGCTTGGTGTAGTTTGGTTTTGTGAGGGAGAATGGTAAAAGTGAGTGAACAGAATGAGGAGAAGAAAAGGGGGACTGATGAACAGAGAGAAGGATGGTTGGGACCATGGGAATTTGACTGCAAGAACTATAATGCAAGGCAAGCAGCAAACAGCAGCCGTCTGCTGGAGTCTGCCCCATTAAACACTCAAGAAAAAGGGGAACAAGTACTGAAACCAAACAGAGCAAGCCTGAACAGAAGAAAAGAAGTAATTCAGCACTCTCGTTTCCAGCCACGGAACTCCCAGCTGGAGGATGCTGCTGGAACAGAGACTTTGGTGAGTGGTGGTGGGTGAGAAAGAAGTCCTGGAGAACATGGATATGAAGTCTTGTGAGGGTAAACACCAGACAAGAGGGATGCTGAGCTGCTGCCACTGGAGAGTAGTGTCTGGAAAGCAGATTATTCCCTGTCTGCTGTGGGTCTGGCTCCTTCCCCAGGGCACATGAAGGGTGTTCTGTTCTCCTGCGGGGTCTCTGGGTGCTGGTGGGATCTCCAAAGGCCCTGGAGTAGAGACATGCCCTGCCCTGGGACTCCTCTCATGGTCCGACATCTGCTAACGGTGTGTCTCAGCGAGTCCCAGGGGCTGCTCGCACGCCCCGACAGGCTACAGCAGTAAACGCACTGGAAAATCCATGAGAGAACTGCCAGGCTCTCGGAACGAACAGAGGGCAGCGCTGTGACTCGCTGCCGTGTGACCGTGCACGGAGCACAGCGCTGCCCCGGGCTCCGGCGGGTCACAAGGGCTGCGAGAGATGCCCCGGTATAAAAATACTCCGTGGAACAGTTTAGTCTTTGCAAAGGGAGGGATGATGGCGAGAGCGGGAGGCAGCGGTGGCAGGGCAGGGCGCGGGAGCTCCAGCGAGGATGCCGCGAGCAGGCAGCGCAGCCAGCAGTGGGAAGGAGAGGACACGCGTGGGCTGGACGAGGGTTGCGGGTGTCCCTGAGCCAGGCTCCTGAGCACCCTTGGCGGCGACGGCAGTATCAGAATCGGTTTCACCCGCGCCGGGAGAAAGTGCTTCGGGGCCACGTGCAGTTCCGGAGAGAAAGCGGGGGCTTCTCTTGGGCGGCACGAGGGCAGGGGTGTTTCCTGCTCCCCAAATCCACCCCGAACTCACTCCAGCCGCAGCTTTCCAAAGGGATGCTCCTGCAGGAACCACGAGCCAAACCGGGCAACTCGGTTCCATCAGTGCCAGACTCCAGCACACGCTGAGCGCTCTTGCGCGGGGTCTGGGGGGAGTCATCGGGAAGGACCCGAGCCTGGCACTGGACGGCTCTGGGGGGCGCAGGGGACCTGCACCAGGCTGGTATCGGGGCTGGCACAGGGCTGGTCCCAACCCCTCCCCGCGGCGACGGCGGCGGCCCCGGGGGCGCGGGAAGGACACGGACGGAGGGCGATGGGACGGAGGACACCGACCCCCCGCCCCACGGAGCCGCCCCGCACTCACATCCGGGGCCGGGTTTGCTAATGACAGACGTAATTAACCCGGAAAGAAGCGACGGCGGAGCCAGGGGCACACCCCCTCCATCGCCCGCCCGCCCTCCTCCCGCCGCCGCCCGGCGTGCGCAGCGCCCGCAGCCCCGGCCCGGCCACCGGCCCCGCCGCCCCCGCCCGCTCCGCCGGCCATGCGCGGGGGCGCAGCCCAGGGACGCTGCGGGGTGAGTGCCGGGCCACGCGTGTCCGCGGAGCCGCCCGTGGAGCAGCGCTCGCCTCGGGCGCTTCTCGAGGGACTCCGCAGGGCGGGCTGGGATCCCATGCTGCCCCCTCCCCACCCTCCCTCCGGCCCCCTTCCCCCGACTCCCCGGGCTTCCCGGGCAGGGGCAGCGGGAGGTGTCGGTGCCCCCGGCGGGGAGAGCGGGCGGGGAGGCGCCCCCAGGGCTGGTCCCCCGGTCCCGGGATGTGGCAGAGACTTGGGTCGCTGCAGCTGGAGCGTCCGTGCCCGGGCTGGGGTCGAGCCCTCCCGGTGCGAGCGGCTTCTGCCCGGCGGTGCCTGCAGCGAAGGGTGGGGGAAGCGGGGGGCAGCGAGGGGGTCTCCACCTGGACGGACGAGGTTTGGGGAGCAGAGGGGTCCCCGTAGGAGCCCCGGGAGTACTGGGGGCACCATCGCCGCCGAGAGTCTGTGGGGCTGGAAGCGAACGTGCGGCGGGGATCAGGGGTCTGCAGCTATTCGCT